GAGGAAGAAGCATCTTTAATATGCAACTATGAATTTTGATTTCTCAGGATAACTTCACGAAAAAAGGATTATAGTAAATAATTAAAAATGTAGTGATGAGATATGTAATACGTAAATGTTGAAAGCGTCAGACTGCTCTAGTGAAACAATTAGATTTTTAAAATGTGAAAAAAATAATAGTCAGTGAGAAAAAGCGTGATAAACACGCATCACTAGTTTACATATTCTTAACCTGGAAATAAATAATTACCCATGAGTTATTTTGTTACAGTTATTTATACTCTGTTTCACTCAACAAGGAATTTGAAATTTTGGTTCAGCTTACCCTTCCAAAAAATCTAATACATGATTTTATCCCTTCTTGATACATTTTTTCCATCTGCCAAAATAGTTTTCTGATATGTTGAATTAAATTACACCCAAAATTTGGAACTGATACACTGTGGGAAAGGAAGTTTATATAAAATGGTAACAATTTTCCTAACTCTGGACTTGAGGGGCTCTGTTTTAACTAACATTTGAGACTGAAAAATGAACAGTATGGTTGTAATGGGGGTGAGGCTTGGGCATTGCTCGTCATGCCCCTCATCTGAACTGAAGATACATTCCCAGCCACTTTTTCTCACACACCCTTACTTAGCAAGGTACTTTGAAAAGATGCAGTCCACACTAGTATGAAATGAGGACTGTGGAACCCTCTCTGTAACTATAAAGCTCTTAACAATATTAAATTATCAAGTGTCTGGTATTTAGTGGGTGCGGAACAAATGTTCTCTAAATGAATAAAACAGTCAGAATTCTCTAAAAAGTAAAATTAAGGTTTCTTTTTTAAAATCATTGTTTTTCTCTTGGTTTTTCCTTAATCCCTACCAATATTTTGCTTCTTTACACCTCTCCTCTTGAAGCAAATTCTTCACATTTTCAAGTTTTCAGGAAGGAGAACAGTTTGTCACTTTCAATTCCTGATGATTTCCATGTTAGGTAACAATTATGTTTATACTCATACATACTCATACATTAATACTCTGTAATTATTACCTGAATCGCTACATACATCCTGAGTTGATTCAATAAGGTTAGTTTTTGACTAATTTTAAGGAGAAAATATTAAGTGTTAGTAGGGAATATAAGTTTTCTAAGTCCTGGATGAATTTCTCACTCTAGTTTATTTCCACAGGAAAAGCCTTTGGAATTCCAGTGCTGTAGGTCAGTACCACTGATTAAAAACTGCTCTCACAAAGATGAACAAAAAGGGGAGGGAATACAGGGAGAGGAAGACTTGTAAGAGAGCTGGCCCTCGGCAGTAAAGACAAGAGGAGAGACTCAGAGTGAGAGGGATAAAACTAACTGCTGAGGAGTGAAACAGCTGGTGGTTTTCGTTCAAGAAAGGAAAGTCAACTTGCCAAAAAAGGGTAGACTTACATAACTATGAAACAAGTAGATTAGTATAAAAAAAATACAAAAAAACCACACAGAAGATAAAATAACACTGTCACCATAAACGTGAATGTCTTATCATTGTAGTTTCCTCCCCTCATGGAAAAATAGTCCTGTTTAGCTTCAAAAATACGTCTTGAGAAAACCGTATGCACCTATCACATTAAGAATCAACCAAGACCTTACTAAAACTATAGATTCTAGGAGTCAACCCTCAGAGATTGATTTAGTAGATATGGGACAGTTGTGAAGCTCCAAATATGCATTTTTAACGAGTACTGAAGAAGATTTTGAAGACCGTTCTTTAGATACATTGTCTTATAGGAAAGAGTAAAACACTGATTAACTGGAATTAACTTTTTGTTGATTCATTAAAAAATATTTAATGATTACTAGGTACTATTTAATTAATAAAAATGTCAGATACTATGATAGGTTTTGAGGATGCAGTGGAGAATAAGAGATAAATATAAATATATAATTATTAATATAATGCATGTTATGAAGGAAAAGTAGATAGAGATGGTATGCCTGATGAATACAGAGTTGTGACTAAGCAACTGAATGATCTGTTCAACTGAGACTTAACAGTATAACCTTATTTGTGGTAATTACTTCAGCTAAATATACATATATTGTGTATTTACACACACTATTTCTCAGGCATTGAATTAGGCCCTGGGGGTTCTTAATCAGGAAAAAATGTACGTAATTGCTTCATTTATTAAGAGGCTACAATGCATCAGGCATTAAACTAAGCAATGAGAACATAAAAATCAATAAAATGCAGATCTTACTCTTTAGGAACTTAGTTTAACTTAAAAAATGGAAGCAGATATAGAGACCTGAAGGCAGAAGTTTGTATAGGGTATTCCTAAAATTGGGAGAAATCTAAAGCATAGAAAAATAAGAAGGAAAGATACACTGATGGAAGTTGATAAGATAGACAATGGAAAGATTATGCACAGCCTTGCAGACCATGTTAAGAATTTTTAATTTTGTTATAAGGAAGGATAATGAGAAGATTCTTGTTAAGATTTCTAGTTGAAAAAATTATGCTAAAGGTGGGCCCAAATCCAATATGACTGGGGTCCTTATAAAAAGGGGAAATTTGGACATAGACGTATGCACAGAGGCGAAACGATGTGAATACATATAAAGGAAAGATGGCCACATGACTGAAACGATGCATTTACAAGCCAAGAACACTGGATTGCTGGCAAACACCAGAAACTAGAAGAGATAAAGGATTCTCTCTTTCAGGCATCAGAGACAGCATGTCTCTGTCAACACCTTGATTTTGGACTTTTAGCCCCCTGAAGTGTGAAACAATAAATTATTGTTGTTTTAAGTAAAAAAAAGTTTAAAAGATTATGTTAGCTAAAGTCTGAAGAATGGATTAAAAAGGAGTAAGAATAGCTGCAGGAAACTTGCAGGAAAGCAAGTAAGAGATGATGGTGAAATTGAGTAAATGATGGCATCAGTAACAGAAGTGAACAGGTTGTGAATATGTTTTTTGACTGACTGAATATTGGAAGGAAAGGCAGGAATCAAGAATGAATCTATAAATAACAAGTTCATACTGTATAGCACAGGGAACTATATTCAATATCTTGTAACTTATGGTGAAAAAGAATGTGAAAATGAATATATGTATCTTCATGTATGACTGAAGCATTATGCTGTACACCAGAAATTGATACAACATTGTAAACTGACTATACTTCAATAAAAAAAAATATATATATATACCAAAAAAAAGAATGAATCTTGATACTGACTTGAAACATAATGGTGGTTACTGGTATAGGGAATGCTAGAGGAGAAACAGCTGTAAGGGGAAAAGAAAATAAATTCAGCCTTGGACATGCTGAATTAAAGGTTGCCTGTGGAACATCCAAGTGGAGTGTTGACCAAGCATCGGATATGGGTCTCCTAGATTAGCTAATATGAGAAGCTTGAGCAGGAGCTAATAACTAGATGCCATGATCACTGTTTGACGCAAGTTTGCAAGACTGTCTAATATCCATACTGTGAGAGAACAGAAGGAGGCTTATTCAGACCCAGAGGAATACTATATTAATGACATGCAAGGGCAGGTGAAGACAGAGAAAGATACTGAGTGAAGATAACAGAGAGGAAAGACAAAAACGAGATTAGGACATACAAAAAAATCCAAGAAGATAATGTTTGAAAAAAAGAGATTAAGTGAGATCAGGGACTGAAAAGAGTAATTTGTGACTATTGTCAGGGTAATGGAAAAGGTAGAATACAAAATGGGAGTGTAAGAATAAGATAGGTGTCCTAAAGGGTAAGATACATACTTTCTCGAGTGTGTGTGTGTAGGTATGTACACATAATTGAATAGTTTAATAATGCTAAAAAACTATTGTAGATTGGTGATATTCTCTATCTTTAGCTCTACACATAACTTAGATGATAATGTGATATTCTTGCAATCACTTATTCGTTTTCTAAGGATGTGGGAATATTTATCACCAAGAATTTAAGAATTTCTCTAGGAATTTTAATGAAACCCTCAGGTATGAATAGCTAACTATTAATAACTGAATAATATGGCAACCTCATGGTCATACTAAATGGATTAAAATATAGTGACAGGCTATCATAAATGACTACCAGAAGATAAATGAGAGGTACAGAAAACAATCAACTATACAAATAAACACTAAAGAATAACAAATAGTATAGGTTTCAAAAATAATACATCTTTTTATCTATTAAACTTCATTTTCCTTAATATGATGTTAATAGATATAGTTTTTTCATATATTTTTTCAGCCAGTCCCTGATGAAGTGTCAGATTCTGGCAGACTACTCAATGTCAGCTGTTTGCTTCCTTAACTTTAGAAACAAGTTCTCATTAGCTCCATCCAACTTGGAGCAGTTCTTTTTGACTAACAGAAATAAAAACTTGACTTAGCCTAGAGACAATCAAAGATATTCTCTCTCCAAGGATCAGCTCTGATTAGGAATGACTGTTCATATCAGTGCCTTTTTAACATTAGACAGACTTTCCTCAGGAGTAGTCTCTGTCCTCTCAACAAACCAAGGCATTTCTTGTCAAAGACAGAGCTTCTATTAACACCATTCTTCTCAGTATGAGGGCTCATAATTAATTAAAATACAGTACCAAATGAAATGAACTTAAACTCTTAGAGTTTAAGAATATGCCTCCCTGGCTTTGCTGTTTCCTTTGATCTTTTTTCTCCCTCTTCTTCTTCAGCAACTTACATAGCCTCATTTTATAAATATGAAGTCATAAATTTTTCCCCCATCCCATGATGTTTACTGCAGAGTGGAATATATTTTTGAAAGTACTGAATTTACCACTTAAACGAAATGTAGGAAACGTTAAATACAACTTGCACACACAATACAATATCGATAGCTAGCAAGAAGAAAGGATCTCTGGTAGGCTTGGACTCTAGAACTCAAGAAAGGTACAGTCAAAGTAAAAGATAATTAAGTGTATAATAAGAATAATTGTAGTGGGTTATTTAAAACATACTTTAAAATCCGTGTATGTAAGAAATCCTTTATTTCACTGTGAATTATTCAAAAATCCAGCTTCTTTCAACTCTTTATGTACTTAATATTCACAAAGTCACAAGCTGTGTGTTGTGAAAAAATCTTAGCACCCCCATACCTAACACACCAGGACATTAACAGTGGAACTGCACAGTGTTGCAAGTTCCCTTATTAGCAGAGGAAATGTGACCGACTTCAGCCTATTCCAGTGACTAGCCTCTTTACCAACGTACAGTTATGCTTTGGAAAGAGTAGGTAAAATAAAATTAGGTGAATATGCAGTATTATTTTTATTTTCTGTAAATCTTTTTTTAGGATGGTGTTGAGGTTTCTCAAGGATGTTAAAAAAAGGAATCCTTGATCTTCACTTATATAAACCCTATCAATCTTTCAAAAGCTAGCTGAAATAAAATGACTTGATAAGGGATAATCAGTCAGTATCTTATAAACATAAGGCATTATGATGAGCAATGAGAGAAATGGCCACTTTTGTTGCACCCATAGGTTCTTATGTGTAGGGTTCTTATATTATTTTCTAGATATTCTACAATTTTCATTCAAAATGTCTCATCTGAAGAGTTAAGAAAGAAGTTGTTTATTTTATTTTATTGATTTCTTGTTAATTTCTAGGTAGTAAGAAAATTTTGTTATTATTTATATTATTTTCCAATATGAGTGAATAATGATCCGAGAAATGGTATCTGTATTATTTCTACTTCTTAAAATTTATTGAAATCTACATATGGCCAGAACCATGGAGTTTTGTTGTTCTTATTTGTTTGTGAGGGGGTAAGAGCTCCATGGTCACTTGAAAAGGTTTCTTTGCGAGTACAAATGTATGACAATATCTTAAAAATAACATCTGTCTAATAAGTATTATACACATAGAGGAACAAGAATTTCTTTTCATCATATGTAGATGGTAGTAATATGAAGACTTAACAAGAAATGAAGGAGTCAGATCAATTCTGTAAAAACTATGAAATAATCCTATGACATTTTGAATCTCAAAGTACCGAAGATGATATTACAAGTACAATGTAGGAGCTCTCATTGTTATGGTACTGTGTACTCTAAAAAATAATCAAAATCTGACAAAAAATTATGTGTAACCAAACAGAAAACAGCAAATTTAATAATAAAAAATGACCTCTGGAAAACACACAGCTACCCTTATTCACTATAGTTCCATCGGATTCAAAAGACCTAATAGCTCTGACATACTTTTTCTTTAGTTATGTCTATAAATTTCTTGGAATTGAAAATGACACATGTAATCCTATTGCTTTTTAAAGTTAATATTGAAATAGAATCAGCAACAACTTAAAAAAAAATTCGTCCATAATTCAGTGGTAGTGATAAGGCACTGCCAGGCATCTCACTTGAAGAATTCTAAGAATTTCCCAGCATTCCCCACATGTTACGATCAAAGCACTGAGTTATAATGCCCACTCCCCTTCCAAAAGTTCCACTTGATGCTTAAATATTTATCTGAATAGACAGGGACATATGTGTGTGTGTGTGTATATTTAAATGAATACAACAGAGCTGTGGTAAATAATCTCAGAATGAGTGAAAAAAATCACTGTTTGCTTAGTTATGATTCACTCTCACTTTGGTGTACATCTTTAAGTATGGACATACTGAAATAGAGTCCAAAGAACAACTAAATAATGAAGTTTGTTCTTTTAGGATGTAGAAAGATCCTATCCTTGAGAAAGCATTGGAGGAAGAGTTGGAGAAGGATACTGGTGATTGCACAATTATTCATTTGCCTTAGGGAGACTGGTGGTGAAAGGAAGAACTTTTGTTACAAATTGAGAATCATTATCCATAATTTGTACCTCTACCAGAAAAGAAAATAATTGTTGATATTAACTTTCATAGCTTGTATCACAAAAATTTCTCCAAATATAGAAAATTATCAATCTAACACTGAGCATGTTTTTTTGTAATCTTATATGTTCTCTTCAGTGTGTGATTTTTTCCATTCCTTTCCCCATCCCAATTCCCTTATAGGCTAAGCTAATTTTCAATTGATAACAAATGTGAATGATCCATCAAGTCTCAACTTAGTAGTTCATTTATTATCATAACTAGGAATTCTTCCCCACATCTATTCAGCAACAGTCCATTAGTGAAGATGACTGCCATCTGCACAGAGAACAAAACAAAAGGTAAAGAACTAGAGTCAACCTAACTTATTGGTTAACTAACTTGTTAGCTGAGGATAAATGATAGTGTTTATCTTGCAATCAACTATTATATTTAGGGCTATAGAAACCTAACTTTATTGCTGGCAAATTTTGCTCTCTAGAATTTTAAGAGGTGGTATCTTTCCCTCTTTAGAATTTGATAGCTTTTTTTTTTTTTTTTTTTTTTTGCTATTTCATTTTCTTCTATTGTTTTCCATGAATAAAATCCTCTACCTTCATGGAAGATATGAGAGAAGGCAAACCTTATATATAAGTCAAAGACATTCAAGATTATAAATTTCCAAATTATTTTCTGAATTCTCTCTCATATGTTATAAATTTTGCAGTACTTTGAATATGTAGTAAAATAAAAGAAATAAAAAGTTCCTTTGCGAAATTGAATCAGCTGCTTGCCTCCTACTGAATCAAATATTCAACAATGCTTCCTTTTCTTTCATTGTTAAAAAGAGTAAACTCTCTAAACACTATGCATATGCCTTCCGATAGAAAAATGGGCAAAGAATTATCTGAAGACATTCAGAAGAAAAAGTATAATTGGTTAATAAACATAAGAAAAATACTTAATCTTATTAGGAATGAAACAAATACATATGTAAATGAGATTTTAAAAACTTATGAAGTCAGCAAAAGAAGTTTAATTATAATGCCCAGTGTTGCTGAGGATATATGGGAACTATGCATTTTCATTTACTGTTGCTGGATGTTTAACTGGTTTAAAATTCTTTTTCTGGAATATCACCAGCAATATATCAAATGTCTACATATATTAAAGGTCTCATAATTGCTTTTCCTTCCACCTTATTGTAAAATCACTTCAACTTATTTAAGAGCAGGTATATAGGTGGTTGCATGAGTATATATAAACATAGGCACTAGGGAAATAGAAGAAAATTATAAAAATACTCGAAAAATCATGACTGCAGACTAAGATGATATATATTAATATATACATTTCAATGAATAAGAGGGAAAAGCACAACACTTACACTACTGATAAAGTCCACTTGTATAAAGTAATCTGCTGATTTTCCTCAACTCTAAAGTGGGGATAAAAATACCTCAGAGATTACTGAAAACTATAAATCATTGTAATGTTATTTTTAAATTGCTCAAACTATAAAGGCAGTGGTATTATTATCAAGATGAAACTTTATAGACTAGCATTTATATCAGACTTTCAGAAGCTATTCCAACTTAAACTATAAAAATGTATTTTAAAGTTTTTATGTATATTAAACTCATATTTAATCCATACTTTTAGCATACCTGAAGATAATTCAATGTTTTACTTATTTTATGACAACAGTATGTGCAAGCAGTTAACATTACATAAACAAAATTTAATTCATTTAATAAAATCCCAGACTAGTATATATATTCATAAACAAGAATAATAATTCTTGCTTATTCACAGTGTACATGCAACTAACTTACACCAGTCATTGATAAATTAACATGATGATTAAAGTTTAACAAAGAAATAGATTTAAAAATCCAGTGTTGATCAGTCTTTTCCTAAAATACTCAGTTTAAAAAAAATCCACTTTATTTTATTCATCAGTTACATATCTTCATATATATGTGTGACTTCACATATATACATATATATATGTATTTCCAATTAATAAGCTGTGGTCAGAATTATCAAGCAGAGCCTTAGTTATTTCAGGAAACGTAGAGGAGAAAGACACTAGCACTAGGTGAAATAATTCTTTAGGCAAGTTTCAGGATCAAAATAGTATTAAAACTAAGACGTAAAGGTCAAAGTGAAATCTTAAACTGAAATTACTAGGATAAAACTGCCAGAAAGATTCCTTCTTTGGAGAGTCAGCCTCTCTCTCCCTTACTCCCCTTACTATTTGTAGTGACTCTAAATGTAAAGTGATAGTAATAAAGCTAACATAGCTGAGAGGCAAGAGAAGAATACCGAAACATCTCTTCTTTTGTATAAACTATTTAGATAGAGAAGACTTCAGAAAATTTTCATGTAGTTTTTCAAAGTTGAAACACAACTTTAATTACTAAATAGTAAGTGTGTAATAATAATTGTTACCATTTTTGAGTGCTTATTATATATCAGACACTGAACTAGGTGCTTTACTTAACAATCTGCAAGATAGGAATTATTACAATTATGCTCACTTTTACAAACAGGGAACTAGACAGGTTATGTTAATTATTCAATATTATAAAACAAAAAAGAAACAGGGTTTAAACCTGAAACTAAATTCATCTAACAGTAAAGCTCATGCTTTTTCTACTACAGTGGTCTGCTTCTGGGAATAACTAAGACAGACATACATAAAATTAAAGTGTAATTTTCTTCTCATAGCTGTTTCAAGCTTCCATTCAAGTTGCAGAGTGGTTTACGTTTCAATTTACAAAACCCATTTTTTATGTTATAGAATCTGACATCGAATGTATAGTATATAAACATGAGTTGTGACTATCTTAAATTTAATGAATATGCTTTTATAAGGCATATATATATGTAATTTTTTGTATCTACTTTCTATTCTAACTCTTAAATCTGAACAAAGAAGACTTCAAATAAAAAATATTAGAATGGAAAGGGGGACAAAATTTGAGCTCAGATGCAAAAAGGGTACAAATATTTTGTATAAAAATTATATAGATATAAAAAATTAGATAATATATACACTTTAAAAAAGGATTTTGATAAAATCAGCATAGTAATTAAACAGATAATTTTAACAAGTGAACTTATAAAAATTGATTTAAGGAGAATGGATATTTGCACTGCTTATTTATTTTTTGCTTATTATCTGTATATCCGCCACTAAATGCAAATTCTATGAGAATAAATACTTGTTTTTTCAGTGCTTATCCACAGCAACTAGAATGGTATCTGTTTTATAGTATGTATTCAGACACACTGTTGAAAAAATTATGCAGTAGTTTGTTTACATTATTCATTTTTTTCTTTATGGTTGAAGTATATCAGAAAGAATGAAATAAATTCTAAAGAATAGTGAGCTAAAATTTGAATATTCTTCAGATAGCAACATTTCATGTAAATAATGTATATTTTTCTCTTTCATTTCTTAGTATTGTTGTTAATGGAGATATTATATCTGACTTATGAGCACACAAAAAAGTTTGTTTTGCATCACAAAGTTTTAGCAAATTGACCCAGAACTCTGAGACTTACCATATCTAGGAATTCACAAAGGGACTTGAGGTTTAGTGACATTCAAACTATTAAACTTTTAAACAAAAATCTCATTTCAGAAAAGGGTATAAGGAAAAGGATTTTAAAATACTCAAATTAAATAGCAACGTTTCTTAGTAAAATTTTACTTTATCACAAGATGAAAGTGTCATGTTACCTGAATTGTCAATGTTCTTTTCTGACCTTTTAAAATCGACTATCTCTCAAGCTTTTTTTTTCACTCAAGCATTAACATGTAGTGGACAAATGGTACAGAATATGAGATGTCAGTGAGAATGGTGGTGTAAGGATCTCAGAAAAGCTGCTCCTCCAAAAACATAATGAGAGCAGAGATGATCAAAATAAACCTTTTAGAACTCTAGAAGTTAAACAAAGGCCTGCAGCAATCTATGGAGTACATAGTCAAGAGAAACACCTGAATTTCATTAAGAATATGAGCTTCATGGGGCTTTAATTTACCTTACTCTCATTTCCCTCTCCTCAGGTACACAGTCACCTTGAAAACCAACAGTATCACAAACCAGAAATCTGTCAATCACTGGATGAATAGAGTAGTTTCAGAGTTTCCAAAAAGTATTATTTTAGGGAATTGTGATTATTTGACGTGTCTTTCAGTTCTCTGGAAACATCTCACAGTATTTGCTTTTATTTGACCTGACTCAGAGCTTACTCAGTGCAAAAAGACTTTACTCCGGAGGTTTCTGTCAAAAAAAGTCAGCAGCAATTGTTTAATATTGCAGCTGCCTGAGGTGGCCATAATAGCTGGGGCAAACAAGAAGCAGACAATAAAAATAAAAAAATTAAAATTAAAAGCTGGGGAATGCAATGTCCATAGAGGGGCTCTGAAAGTTCCAACATGATCCTGGGAATCTAGAAGTCTGTCCATGTGTTCGTAAGATGTTTGCAGGCCTAGGAAAGACCCAAGGAGGCCTTAAGCTCTCACCTTTGGGTGATCCCAAGACCTCAAATAGTTGCATAAATACAAAAATACATAAATATTAGAAAATAGCTATGTTAAAAGGACATAAGTGGTAACAGTATTATGAACAGTAATGACACTAAAGTATACTAGTTTTAATATCCATCTTTTTTTAGAGTTTGTCAATTAAATATGCAGATACATACCAGATCTGTTTTTGGAGGATCTGGACACTCAGTGGAGAAATAAAGTGTCGAACTTCTGACTCCACTGCTGTCAGAAGTTGGCTTTGGAGGTTGAGCATGTTGTCTGTAAGTAGCACTTTTAGGAGTCCAACAAAACAGGTTGATTGATTCTCGCACACAGCGTTCAATGTCTATTTCTAGAAAGGAAAAATTTTAAAAAAGCAAAGATAGAATCTTGATTGCTCAGTTTATGTAAAAACCACAATCTTTCCTAAGTGCATATATACAAATATGGCTAAGATGATAACTAATTAGCAGAGATGTCAGTAAAAACAAATATAGAAATTAATCAGCATATTTACAACTGAAATGGTAGGAGGTACTTTATATTATTATGTAGATACATATACACATATATTTACTAATTAAATATATGCATATATTTTATATGTGGTTTTATTGGTATTATAATCTACATATATATGCAATATATATGTATATTTCAGAGTATCATTATTTAAACATCATGGAATGTAACATTTCTTCTTATTTAAGAATCTGCTTCACTAACTTTGATAATATTTTTTCTTTTTCAAAGTAAAACAAAGGCTGGGTAGAGAGGTAAGGCTGGAATTTGGGAGTGGGCAGGCAAAAGATTCAGGTGTTGATTCACCATGACTTTAAGTAAAGTGTACTAAAAGTTTCATTTTCATCTATTAAAGAAGATACAAAATCATCAGGCAAAATTTATTGAAATATCAATTCAGCATTTCTCACTTTCTTTTAAAATTTCTTGATTCAAGTGCACACAAGTTTAAGCGAAGCTTCATATAGAGAGAAACTGCACTAGATTAAAATTATAAAAATATTTTCATAGAAGATTTCTTTTCTTTCTCAGATTTGAAAGTGATTTAAGCATTTTGGTACAGAGATAATGTACACGGGAAAGTTATTACAAAGTCAAATTATTGTTTGTGTGTTTGATAGGACTGTAGCTTTTTAGAAGATCAATAGTCCTGATGAAGAATAACCTGTTCCTGTATGGGGAAAGTGGAGTGATTCACGGAAAGGCAGTAGAAATTCAAGAAGTTGACTAGGATGAAGGAGTTAAGCATGGACTAGCTTTCCCCATTCTATAGCTCTAATATTAGTAAATGGTAGATATCCTCACTTCCTTCACAAAAGTCCAAATGTGGCAGCCAAGATAAACAATGGAGAAAAACATAATACATATTTTAAATTACAAAGGGATGAGTTCCTTATTTCACTTTATGAAATGAAAAGCTTATACATAAGAGGAAAAGAAATAGGAATTTAAGTCAGTTTTGTGAATGGTGCATGAGTCATGCACTTAGAGTTGTCTGCTTTTGTAAGGTGGAAAACTTTTGGATAAGCACAGGGAAATAGACACTTTTTGAGCATCTATTAGGTGACAGGCATTGTCTACTTTCACTTAGCCCATTTAATTCTTACAATGATTCTTGTAGACAGGTATTGCAATCTCCCTTATCTCTGTTAAAGACCAAAGAAACTAAGACATAAGAAAGCTAAGTGATTTAATGTGTTAAGTGTGTTATGAGTAGAATCTCTTAAGTTGAAAGGCATCTTTCATTTCCCAATTCATTAAGATTCGGGAAAATAATAGCCAACAGATCTAGAAAGACCAGTTACTAAATCAAACATTCCTTTATCTCTATTAGTGATGTTTGCCAACTTTATAGTTGGTTACTCCCATGGCTCCCCAAAGAGGTCAGATTTCATCACCTCCATATTGTATTTCTAACATAAAATCTATAAAATAGAGTTAGACATAGATCTATTTATTTGAGAAATGGTCAGTATGGTTAAATGTATTCTGTTTAAAAAGCTCTGTAATATTATCAACTTGATATTCCACAGAGAAGAACACAGAAACCAACTAGAAGAAGTATAAAAGTTTAAGATATGTTCCTCTGCTCCACTAAAGAAGGAAGAGATATGTTCAATTCATTTTAGGAAATTTCCAATTAATATGGTTAAAATAAAAATTTGCAGCTAAAGAGAGAAAACTCTGTCATCTTAAAAAAGTTTATTCACTTAGCACTGTTTAATCTCCAAAGCAGAATAATTTTGGACCGTAGATTTTGCATCTGCAGTGCTCAAATCAGTCTGACATATCTGTCACCCATAAAAGGCTTGAAATCAAGTCAATGATCCAGATCAGAGGTTGTAGTTAAGTCCTTAGATCACTGGCCATGGAAAAGTCATCTGTATCTGCTTCCAAAACACTCTACCAATACCATAAAAGGTTTACAGTGAATCTTGAGAATTTACTGGGATCCACTCCGATTCAAGCCTGATTACTAGTACTGGCAGATATCCCATTCTCCATTCTCTTGACCCTTGTCACTTCATCTCAAAATCCTTCCAAAGTACTTTATCGTAATAAAAATATTATGTAAAAATGCTTTGTAAACCATACATTAAAATATGCAATTATTCTTTCAAAATATTATCTCATCCTAGGGCACTACTATTTTCTATCTTGAATTTTCATTTTGATATAATACATTGTGAAAAAGCAATATACCATGGATTATGTTTTCCCAGGATGATTCCAAACTCCATGAGGTACTCTGTGACTCAGAGAAATCATTTATCTAAATCTCGGTTTCTTTATTCTCATCCATTACTACTATATTTCTCAGAAATACTGAATTATTTTCAAAATAATAAAATACAACTGATGTGTCATTTGGGTGAGGGGAGGTGGAAAAATCACCTCTTCTTAAGCCCTCTTTTCTCTTGTTTTAATGGATATGAATTACTTCCTAGATCGAACGAACATCACCTAATTCCCTTTGGTTCCTTCCTATATTTGATCTCTCATTTGGAGTCTAAGATATTATTTTTTCTCTCTTGATTAACTGCATTATTTTGATAGAACATATTTTCCAGTAGTTTCTAAGAAAGGATGCACAGAAGGCAAATTATTTTGGAATTGTCCATGTCTTTTAATATACTTATTCTGCCCTTGACTGACAGTTGGGTTAGGCATAACATTCTAGGATTTCTTTTTTTTTCTCTTCAGAGTTATGTAAGGCAGGGCTCCATTATCTTTCTGCTGAGAATTTTGATGCAATTTTGATTTGAGATCATCTGTATGTGATTTTCCACCTTTCTGTAAACTTTTAGGATCCCCGGTGCTCTGAAATTTCATAATGATATATGTAAGTGTGTATCACTTACTTGTGCTAGGCATTTGATGGTCTTTTTGTAATCTTTCACTTACAGAAAAAGTTCTTGTTTGATGTCTGTAATAACTTCTTTCTGTTTTTCCTCTTCTCTCTTCTTTCAGTAGAAGAGTTTTGAACATCCTGAGTAGATTTTCTAATAATTTTGCCTTTTCTTCTTATTTTCCATCTTTATTTGTATTCTACTCTCTGAGAGATTTCCCAAACTATATCATTCAACTCTTTTATTATAAAGATCCTTGAATTTCTACATCATTTTTAATTTCCAGTAAATTAAATTTTGTTGTTACTTAAAAAATATTCTGATTTTTCATAGTTACCATATTTTCTCATAATTGTCTTTCTGAGGATATCCCTTTATTCAGTTGGTACCAGTCTGTGTTTTTCAGTTGGAGGCTTCCCTTAGAGATTTCGTAATTTATGACTGTACATATTTAAAAGAATAGCACTAAAAATCTGATTGGAAGTTTTCTATATGTGGCAGGGCTTGGTAACTGGTGGATTCACTATAGGTAACTCGGGGATACAGTCATTTGTTAGAGGACTATGTAAGTAAGATATTTCTCCCTTCTGGGGACATTCCATCTCTCCAGAGACTAAGTTTTTAATCTGTCTAAACTAATCCTTGCCAGCATTCTAGGACTGACCACGGAGGGGCCTGGGGCTTGTGACTATATACATTTCCTCACTCTGGCTCTTTGCTATGCTGCTAACTCTGAGACTCAAGACTCTATGATTCCACTACACCAAAGAATACTCCTCCAAATGTATTGTTCCTATGGTCATGTTTTGTAAAATTTGCAGAAGTATAAATATTTAAACTATAATCAGTGAAAACTGTTGTCTTTATTTACACCAATTTCTCCTCCATTACTCTTCCTTTTGTGCTGGGCAACACAGAGGCTCTGGATACTTTGACACAACTAAGCAAGCTGAATTAGAGGTATACAGTGTGGTTTATTGGGGTATATTTCACTGATCTGAAGTCACTTTTGGGTAATTTCTCCTTGACTAGACTCTAGCCAGGCTTCTCTAAGCCTTTTCTCAACTATACCTCAACTTGGCCTATAGAGACTTGAGCAAAACTCTAACATAGTTTATAGCAATTCAAGGCCACATCCCTAGGATGACCTCAACACTCTATAAGTGCCTGCCTGAGAAATATCAAGGCTGCCAAAAGAACCTACCATTTGCCAGTCAATACTTGAAGACAGGGTCCCTGTCTTCCAGCCTCTATGGGAAGGTGGGAGTCTAAATTTGATAAGTGTCAATTAGCAAACCCAGATTTGTATCACATGGACCAATGCCTCTCGTCACATTTTTTGTAATTTTTTCACTTCCCTGAATCTTCCAGTCCCCTCCTTCCTTATTCCCTCATTCCCTCTTTAAAATGCCCCGTCACCTCTGTACAAATTGACGTTGAGTTTAATTTATGCTGGACTCTTACTATACCAGTGTGTTACTGATTAAAACCTGTCCTTACCACTTTAATTAGTATCCAGCATTTTTTATCTTTGACAGTATGGCAAAGTTATTTCTAGCTCTAGGAATGACTTTCTGGAATACTCCCACCACCCTCTATACAGGAGCAGAGGTTGTATGCGATATAAATATGTTCCAGCACCGGAAGTTTATGGGTAGGAGAAACATAACTGACATGTACAAAGTCAAAAGTCAGACTGTAAAATTCTTCGAAACATTAAACATGCAAAATTATAAGCAGAAAATCTGATTCTCATTGATGCTGATCAAAAGAGAAATACTCTTCTTCTAGGAATCTACTTGATAATGCTACATATACAATTACAAGTGCACCATTAACATTTTTCCTTTTTTTGATAGGAATTTCACAAAACAGCATTTTGTTTACAAGAATAAACAATACAATAAACAAAAGCTACACCTGTGTTAAGTCATATGTTTTATGTATTCCTACTATCAAAAATAAAAAAAAATCTCAACAA